CTCTCTGTGTATTTTAATTGGCCAGGATATTATTATTATTATTTTGGCTAGGATTTTATGTCACTTCTCTTTTCTCTCTCTTTCTCTGTGTATTTTAATTGGCCAGTATATTATTATTATTATTATTATGATTGTTATTATTATTAGTTGGGGCACTGCACGAGGAAGAAAAAGAGATAGCATGTGGGGGAGCTGTAATAGCTTAAAGCAAAAAGAGAAATATTTGCCCAAAAACATATAGTATTAATTAAATTCTACAATATAATATATTAAAGAGAAGTCTGTGCAACAGTTGTGCTTAGAGAAGTGTGAAAAATTGAAGACGCAGAGAGAGAGAGATCAAGTGTGGAAAGACCAACTTTTGGTGTACGGAAATGGGGCAGAAACAGAGCAGAAGAAGCCTTATTAGAAGCATGTTTGTTGGCAGTGGTCCCTTTTCAATGGAAGTATCATCATCTGTCATGTGCTCTTCTGATATCTGCTCACATGCTAAAAAGCATTATCTATATATAATTGCATTACTTTTACATATTTACATCCTTCACAAAAGTGTCAATTATTTAGAGACAAAACACCTCTAATTGACTGGCTGCACATGTTTAACTATATAATGAATATTGGACTCTTGTGATATTAAATAGGTCTAAGGTGCTTTATTATACCTGTCAAAGTTTGTTCTAATACTACATTAAAATCCACCTAAACATAATATAACTTTTTTTTTTTACTTTATCTTTGAGGAGAAGACTCGCCTCAATGCTTATGTGGGGATCACTATTTCAAATCCCAACTTTTGCTTACTTGAATACCAAAAAAATAAAAAATAAATAATTAATTGTAAATTACTTTAATACCCTTAATGAAATTAAAACTAAAAAAATATTACAAATACTATTTTTCTTTCTTAAATACCAAATAATCAAAAACTCAAAAAACCATTTCCCTCCTTCTCCACCTCCTTCTTCTCCCTCCCCAAAAACCCTTCTAAAAAATCTTCCTCACAACAAACCCTTCTAAAAAATCTCACAACAAACCCTTCTAAAAAATATCAAAACTAAAGAAATTAAAACCTCACAAAACGTATAAAATTGAGTTATAAGACAATAATATGGTAGTATATATGAAAGGAGAACACTTAAGGTAAAGTATCGATGTCTTTTTTG